CTCTCCCATCTCTTGAAAAGCCTACGGACCAATGATGTAGGGCAGCTCTCGACGCACTCCATCTCGGCGTTTGTCACCGGCCAAAAACTCCATCCCGCTCTCTGCATCAATGTCCTCTTTGACAACGCTTTCTGTCGGTGCCGCGAGCGTCGACAAGGAACGTCATTACCAATACCCAATACCCCTCCACCATCGGTAGGGGGGGTGCGACTCGCCGAATACCTCACGGCCCTTCGCGCGCTTGGTGATGTCATAGCCTGGTCCTTTGAAAACCAGGCGTGCCCCGTCCCGGCTTTGTGTGGGGATGCGAGGCCAATGCGTACGACACTTATTTAGTACAGCCCCCCCTCGTTGCTGGGAGGAACGCGGTACCGACTGCAATGAATCTTGCCTGATCCTCGTTCACGGCCGTCGCGCCCAGCAGTTGCAGCAGGTGCACACCGAAAAACTCTAGCAGGACCAGGAGAACGACCCCCAGAGCCAGCGCCGCCGTGAGGAGCTGCCCGATCAGCCTGGCGTGGGCGGGGGGAGATGAGAGTCACCAGTTAGATTCTCCGGGCGCGATTTCCGTTCTTGTATTGTTGCCACATTTTCACAAGCTCTTTCGGGGAAGATTCATTCCATGGTGCCGCAGACTAAAGTCTTGGTGCCACAGCGAGCGAGAACAGCACACAATGACTCTACCTGATATTACCGTGGGGCTACCTCTGCTGTTGTTGGGACGGATGGCAAGGGAAGCAGTCCGTGAACCGCGATCGGAAGACAGGCCGCACAAACGGCGCGTCCCAGGAAAAAAAAATACCCCATGGTAAAAAAACCATGGTAATAGTGGTCTCTCCACCGTGTGCCTTAGTCTGCCCCTTATTTCTTGTTATTTTCGGCCTGGTCCCTTTTTGTCCTCGCTCTTTTTCATTTTATTTTCTCTTTCCTTACTGTTTCCTTTTTTTATTTTTTTCTCTTTTTCTTTTTCTCTTTTTCTCTCTTTTTTTTTCTCTCTTTTTCTGTGCCAGATGGCCTTGTCTCTGCTTGCGTTGTGAAGTACCAAGATGGAACCAAGGGGTGTACCTCTTTCTCTCCGGCCCGTGATAGTGACTCCTAGACCTCGCATAACGCGCAGAGGGAGGGGAGGACTCCAGAATATCTGTAGTTAATTTCTATGGACTTGCGGACCCCTCGGGGCCAGTCTATTTGAGTGTACCTTTTTGGGGTAAGTTAACCTGTGACCACGGGACTCGACCGCGTCGAGTGTTGGATCAGTACGGACATACGAAGGTACTGGGTAGAGAGAGATCGGAACGGTTTTTAATGTGAAGACAACAACAACAACAACAACAACAACAATACTCATGGGAAGTTTGGATCAGCGATGGCGACGCTGCCGAAAACCGTAACCCGACCAAGGGTCGTCGATGTTGTCGTCATTGCTTCTTCACAAGAAAAACACCGTTGCGATATCTTCCACCCTTAGCACACTGGTCCAATCGTCGCGCACACCTTCCGCGGTGGCAGGCTAGAAAAAACTACCCAAAAGAGGTACAACCAGGTTATAGTGCGATAAATGAAAGATAAATATGCAAAAAAAAAGGTCCAAAAATAGCGATACGTTACGTGAAATCAAAGAAGAAATGCACGACAGAAAAACCCGAAGGGGTGTGTGAAAAAGCTCTCACTTAGGAAGGACGTCGCACCGAACCAACACGAAAAAGCCTATTTTTTTTATTTTTTTGAAACCCACACACGTACTTTGCAGAGAGCCTACATTTACCTGGCTGCCCCTTTCTCGTCCCCTTTCGCTCTGGCGGAGGCCACGAACGGCGTCGGCACTGTCGCCAGGAAGTTGAAGATGTAGAAGGAAAAGGTGAAGACGTTGGTGTTCAGCGCCAAGGCGCCCAACCCGATCTGCCGTGCCCCCCCACGCCCAAACAGAAACAAGGTGCGCGCGTGGATTGGCGAGGAACGCAAAGAAGAACGGCTTCTCTCGGCTAAGAAGCTTTGGGGACATATGAGACGGCGTTTACACAGTGTGTGTTGGTTTGGGGGCCCCAAGTGTAAAGGATTTAGTATGGCCCGGGTGCTATTCTGGCTTCCGGCCTCCCCGTTCTTTTTTTTACCGGCATGGTGCCCCGCAGATTGTACAACATAAGGTGGGGTATCAATCGTAACGACACTTCCCCGGCCTAAGGGCATCTGGTCTTCGGAAACCCATGTGCGTCCTTAGCTGAAGGACGATTGCAACACTTTCATTGTAGGGAGTTCGCCGCCGCGTCAAGTACACCACTACCACCACACCGTGTCTCTCACTACCAAGCGGGAATCGACTGCGTCAAGTCGTGATCGGTACGGACAGATGAAGGTGCAGGGTACAGAGGTCCCAACGGTTATTAATAAGAAGACAACAACAACAACAAGGGGCGCGAATGGACGTTGGTGTTGGGAGGCAAGTCGTTCGGGTTATTGCACGGCATCGGCATCCTTGTGCGGCTACATACAGTAGCAGCCAAACGTGCTGTCCAAAAAGCTGTTCTCTCTGCTGGCGCGCACCGTGCCAAGGTGGCGCAAGAAACAAAACATTGTTCGAGGCAGTTTGGTGGGGGCGAGGTGGGAACGGCGAGTGATTGTGCGTCGTCGCTGCTCTCGAGGGAATAAACGTAGAGCGAGGGCGAAAATGACGATGATTTCGTGGGATGTCGTTTCGGGGATGATACAACCAACCACGTTTTACATCTCCAGTAAGAAGATACGGGGGGAGATGTACACATCAACGCCCCCCATTCACGGGGTTCGGCAAAATGACCGTCGGATGCGCTTTCTGTTTTAGCCGGACCGACAGTGGCGTGTTTGTATCGGTCAACCAGTTCGCGAGCGGTCGATGTTGGTAAACATACACACAACGTCTTTTGTTGGTCAGCTGGCTAGCGCGGTCGATGCTACACACACGCACACACACAGTAGAAAGTTTCCGTGCTTGCTATCCCGCAACAAGACTATGATCACCATGTTGGTCAGCCGGTTATCCCGGTCGACGCAAAATACGGACACCATACACACCTCGCCGCCACCATGCTCGGCGGCAAGGCGCCCGATGTAAGCGGTGTCCACCGCCGACATCAAGGGGTCAACCGAAAGAGCCACGAGGGCAGGGACAGCAATGGACAGGATCTGCCCGCTCAGCCCGTCGTTCTTGCTCTTGGCGCTGGCCTCACCGTTGCCGTCCGTGCCAATTGGCAAGTAGGCGTCGATCCCACCGTCTGCATCTCCTGATGTTGGGAACGAGTGGGTGCTTATTACAGTTACGTAGCGCCCGCGTTCAAGGAACGTCAAGTTGGGTTTCGAGGCTCGGTTTCGTAATTTGTCACCACCTGCGAGCATAGGTCATTAAATGGTGTAGGATCCACGGCTGACGCGCGTTTTTTTGTCGATTTTTCATATTTATCGCCAAGATCTTCGCCATTTTTTTGTTGAAACGCTGGCGCTACCTGTATCGTCAGATGCGACAGAGAAAACGTGGACTCAAGACCTTGGCTATGGTTAATGGAGCGAAGAGGGCACGCTGCTCGTCGGCCTACGAGGGGGATCGCCGTTCTACAAACAACATGATACACCTAGATCTCAGTAGATCCGTATCTACAGTAGTGCTGAGTACACCAAACATTTCCTGTGCGCATTCATGCACGCACCGTACAGCCGCCGCGTGTAGACAGTAGGCGAGGATTAGGCTCGCTGGCAGCTCTTATCCATATTCACAAAATTTGCGAATGAATGAGAGTTTGAGATCGATATGCGAAACTGCGGTCACGGAAGGGCGCCCTTTAAACGTCTGGACAGAAATGCCGGCCAATCAACGGTTACGGTCGTATGGCCGTGGGGGGGTGCGGAGTGGCACCTACGGACTGAAGTACATTGCAGGCTGCTTGAAATTCGTGGGTAAGTAGCGCACAGGTCCGGAAATCGGCGCAGAGACGATGACGTGTTTCCCCGCTTGCGCCTGTTTTCCCAGGTACCGGTAGATGATAATCGAACGGGTCGCCGATGTGTTTGTTGATGACAACAAAGAAACGGAGGCGCCGTTCCATCCGATCAAAACTTCCTATCCATACAGACTACACTGTAGTTCGGAGGCATCGCCGTAAACTTTTCGATATTAGAAAATCTACAGCACAATGTACAGCAGCCATGTCCGACTTCGGTACTTGTTGTCTTGTCGTTGGTTCGGTGAGGTTCGCTGGGCTCTTCGAGCCCAAAGGAAACCAATGGTTAATGTAGAAAGTAATTCGAGGCTTCGAAGGAACATGGCGAGGGTTCGATGGTTGGCAAGTCTAAGAAACTCGTCCAGCATCCAGCAATGCATATGAATATGTGAGTACTGAAACGAAACAGCTGGCAGCAAGCTGGCAAACAACTGCTGCTGCAGGTCGGTCCTCCTGCCTGACTGCTATCTCATAAGCCCACTCCGGAGGGATCACTTTGAACAACTAACCGTCGGCAAGAATCAAGAAAGACTCTCCGTTCCAATCTCAAAACGTACTTCAGATTGCATGCGCGTTTCATGCAGGAGGAACCAGATAACATGAACACTGCTGCTCTTGTTTTCGCACTATTGTAGACTACCGCGTTGAAAAGCACGATGGCAACCGGGCTACAGCAGAACCTGCCAGCCCGGCCTGATAGTGCAGTTCGCGCTTTTCAACAGAAGCTCGTGCCAGACGACGCTGCTACGCAGCTACATAATGCCGCCGTCACTATAACGTCGGTTGATCAGCACGATTGATCACGGAGTTTTGCGAACATCAAACAAACACCAGTCCGCAAACACCCGATTACAGGAATTACAACCTCTAGCAGGAGGCATGTGCCCGTCAGTGGCCATCTCGCTGTTCAACGTTCTAGACTGGTGTAGAACTGCTGTCCTCGCATGGTGGAATGGAGCCACACTACAGTATACCACCCACCTGATCGCAGGCCGGCCGCGGCAGCGGATGGGTCCTCTGGATCTAAGTCGTTACCAGTCGGTGCTGTGGCCTGCAACCGCGTGCTCGAACCCGCCGTGCCGTATCCATCGTCGACAACATCATCGTTGCTGCCGCTCACCCCCTTCCCAAGGAGGCCCGACCTTTGCTGAGGTGACGGCGACGACGCGGTCCTACTCGGTGATGCGCCCATCCCGAAGAAGCTCGCTGCTGTAGCGCTGCTGCTCCGAGCGTTGAAGTGTACTCCAGAGGGTGCGAGCAAAAAACCGCATGAAGAGGAGTGCTGCCGCGGTGGTACAACGGCCTCCGCCAATTGATGCTGCAGCAAAAGTGGCACAAGAGCTAATCGCAGCCCGAACACCCTTGCTGCGCTAAGTGTGGATCCCCGAAGAAACGACTCTGGGACGGCTTGCATGTATGCACTGTAGCCCAGTTGCAGTCACGTTCCTTTGCAATGCCGCCGTCGGATGCACCAGCGGCAAGTTCACGAGACTTTGAAGTTGCCAGCGGGAGGGGGTCCGCAACTTGGATGCAAATATACGTACCTACCTACCGCCCTTCTCGACAATTGATGTCACTCCAGCCCTGAGCGGGCAGGTACTACCGGGCTACCGGGCCACCAGAAGTAGCCACTTGCTTGCTCTCTCACTTGGGGCAAGAGAAGGCTATCGAGCCATGGTACCAGCGGCTGGCAGCAAGAAGCGGAGCAATCCCGAAGGCAATGAAGCGCCTGACGACTGTTCCCCTTCTCCACCGCTCGCCGGAGAAGCGAAGGTGAGAGGCTGAAGGACCTACGTACCAACTGATGTGATGGTAAATACGCATTGTAGATGGCAGGCAGATGGAGTGTGGTTGGGGGTGGATACTTGTCGTGGCCATTACATTGGTACTGATCTGGACCTTGATTGTCCGCGTTCAGCGAGCTGGTTATCTCATGTTTGCACTGAGAGGCGTGTGTGTGCATGACTTGCGCACCCCCCCTGCCGAAAAAGCCCTCCATATCTCAATTTTCTCTCGTGTCGCTTGGCGTACACTCTCCTGGTAGCACTCTACTCTGGCTACTAAGTCTGTTCTGGCCCTCTCTCCCTCCCTCTTTCTCCCCATGCGCTCATATGTTCACAAGTTTGCTATGTATGTATTTTTCTATCTGTGTCTCGTCCTCGCTTGTTCTCCCGTGACGGCACGCAAACGATATGTACATCGCTGTAATGATAAAATTTTGGAGGTAGACATGTGATCGTGTCTGACCATGGTTATTGGGCGTTGGGCGGTGCTAAGTAAGCTGGCCACCGATCCAATCGTGGCCATGTGCTGATATTCTCAATAGGTCTTCCCTCTACAGACTTCATCTACGAATGGTGTCACATGGTGGAAACGACCCTATCACTTCCGCGCCCTCTTCTTGTCCCGCAGCCTCCGCGTCGCCTCGCTGTATCGCTGACGGTGTGTGAATGAGGACACTACCTTGCCCCTCGCAACGATTGGAAGCGCCCACGAGCAGTCTCCACGATCCGTTCACCTTCTTGACGGGCACAGTCTCGCCCATTTGGCACCTGGGGTGCCCCTGGGTAGCATTGCCGTTGTGGACGCCGAGAATGGGCGAGACATCCATGAAGCATGAACAAGCAT